GCTGTTAGCATCGGAGTCATTTGCACTTGCTCATGCAAACTTGTTCGGTTATCTGCAGGTAATTACAAGGTCTGTGGCGTTTCTGTTGTCCGTGCATGGCTGTAAGGCTGCTTAGCGTCCGTGAAGCACAACAGTACGTGTAGGGGTAGCAAGGCCAAGCCCATGAAGACGTGACTGGCGCCAACAGGCGCTCTACTGCAGTCCTAACCTGCAGTTGAAGGCAGCACTCAGGCTGAAGAGAGCATCCTTTTCTCTCTGTCCTGCCTTATTTACAGCCTGATGGCCAATGCTTTTTTTTTTTTTTTTTTTTTGAGGCGGACGGAGCACTTTTGGGGCCTGCAACTTTCAGCATGGCTCCTCTGTGGTTTACCTAAGGTCACAAAAACCATAGGACAGGGAATCAGTCTTTGGTGCTGCGTGAACTGCATAGATGAAACAGGATCTCTGCCGTGGAGCTTGCTGGGGCTGAGCATGTGCTTGAAAGAGCTGAATGAGTCCCTCCTAAAAAAATCTATGGGTTTGCAGTATTTCCTTGGGAGTTAATGTAGACATAATTAAAATAGATACATAGAACACCTTTCACTCTTTAAAGCAGTGTTTGGGGGAAGTGTTAAGAGTGTATCCAGTCTGAATTACAGGGGAATCTTAAGTAGGCAAAAGTCTGGTATTTGCACGTTAGGGTTACCACTCTTGCAAAATAGATCTTATTACAGCTTGGCACAGCGTATAGCAAATTTACCAGTAGAGAAACCAAAATAGCTGGTAGGGCAATACAGTAGGTAGAGCGCTCAGGTTGGATATGGAAAAAACAAATCCAGGTCCCTGTTGCAGACTGGCTCTCCAATTCTCATGCTCATCTTTTTATTTTACAGAAATAATTAACTCATCTTCCTCATCAACTCTACCTTAAAATCAGCCATCTGCAACTAATTACTCTTTCTTTATTTTTCTGGCCCTAATAGTGTGAAATTACTTATACAACATGGCATTTGTACAGAAGAAGTCTTGGAAGAGATTCAGCCCACACCAGCGTTATGGTTAAAGTTGTCTTTGAGTAGACTTTCCTCAAAGGAAGTTGAGGCTCAGATTGTCATATGGATTATGTGATTGAAGCTGGGTTTCCCGTATGTTGTTTGAACACCTTAATTATCAAGTTACTGAGTTTTCTGGGATGAGGAAAATCTCCTTGCTGCACTTCTGCCCAATTACTCTGAAAGATCATGATTTCATGCCCGTGAAGAAGAAGAAAACATTTTAAATCTGAAAAACCTTCCTAGAACAAGAAAAATGTTTCTAGCCCAGATCCAACTGCAGCATTTCTCATATTGCCTGTCATAACTGGCAGAGGAAAGAATTCCAAGTTTACTTGGTCCTTCAAAACTGCTGGCCAATGCTGATCGTTATGAGGATTTGTTTGTTTGGCATCGATACAGGACTCCTGTTGGGAAGAAGTGGGGTTGACGCACACAAAAATATAGCTCCAATAATTGCTCTGTCACTACATGCTCAAGAACTGTGTTGCGCCATCAGCTCCGCTCCAAGGCTTGCAAACTCCCATCTCATCCCTAGGGTCCTCTCCATGCCATACTGCCAATGCTCGGTGAGTTTCCAAGGACAGAGTGAAACCAGAAAGAGAAATAGGCTTTGTATGAGCTAAGGAGAAGAGCTAGGTGAGAGTTTCAGGGGGTGGATAGATGCAAGAGGCTTGGCTGGTCAAAATTAGGCAATGAACTGGGAGTGAGTGATCCTGAACAGTAGTAGTTTGTACGTTTATTTGGCAGCTTAAAAAGAAAACCCGTTTCTTTTCCACCTTTTTATTGAAAAGAAAAGACTGCAGTTCCCACTGAAATTCATTCAATATGCTTTCACAGTATCTCCAATCTGCATAAGGAGCTTCAGCCTTCCTAAAGGCATTATTGGTGTGATTACTCAATACATTCAAATTAATGCATTTAAAGATATTTTTCATAACTATTTATCATAGTCAAGTAAATATGGGCTTTGGGGGTGCATAATATTTGGCTTAGTATACACAAAGGGCTCAGAGCAAACAAAGCAGTCACGATCTAAAGCTGAACCTGAGTTTTGTTAACATCTTTAATTGACCAAGGTAGGTCTCCATGTGGCCATGGCTGTGACGCTTGCATTCCACTAACAAATCAAAGCATGCTGACTTCAAAGAAAAGGCTTTACATTTTCCAGAAGGGAGTGCAGTAATGGTTGTGCATGGATTAGAAAAGATGGTTATAATTGCCTTAAGGCCTATCTTTGCTGATACAAGAACTTTCCTTATTGCTGATTCTGGCTCACGCACGTGGAGCAAATAATAACAATTATTCTTGTTCACTGGGCTAAGAACAAATCTCTTGAAATGTTTGCGCTTTTTTTCCCCTAAAAATGTTAAAACATTGCTACATGACCTGCTACTGCTGCATGGATTGATAGTATTGTCCTTAGTCACTCATATAGACCAGTTGATTATGGAGCAAATTAAATATTTTTTCCCCAAGGTTCACTCATACCTAAAAGGATACGTCTTGACAGGCTTAAGATATTGCCAAAAAACGTACTACCCCCTCTTTTAACTGAGAAGATAATTCGTAACTTGATTGCAAGGGCTTCGATCAATATCAAAATATTTTATAGTAATTAATTTCTATGCCATTGGAAAGGAAAGAATCAGAAAGACAACAGATTGTTTTCAAGATATAAAGGAAACAATGTTAAGAATATCTGAAAATTAAAAAACATATTAAATCAAAGTTTGATTTTAAAAAATGTATCATGATTTGCAGCTAATCCAGGCACTGTTTATTTTTTAAATGACTTTGTTGTGTGCAAATTAATGGAAAATGAGAATGACTAGTTCCAAGACCAGTTTGCATGCCGTGTAATAGCCAAGTGCGCGATCAGTTGTCCTCTGATCTTGAAGACAAAGTAACTAAAGGTTTCCTGGTTTTTGCCCTGACGGACAACCAAAATTTCAGAACTGTGGGAGATGTTAATTACGTCAGCGTTAGTACACTGAGATGTTGAGGCATGCCCCACAAGATGGTTATCTCTATACTGCACAGCTCAAAGCATGTTCAGCGTTTCCTGGAAATTAGAAACTAGTTTTGTATTTTCAGTGGGAATATTTCCCCATTGTTGTTTGTGTGTTTTTTTCAACACTGAATCATATAAGGATGTTGGAAACACATTTGTAGAGACTGAATAAGACTTAAATTTATTTTACAACGTGCTAGTAGTTTTTAAAGATATGGTATGAAAATTAGAATAATCTTTTATTTTCTACAGATCATGACAGCGTATTCATTCTGGAGAAGAAGTGTCTCCTTTATAAAAAAAAAAAACTAACTGAAAAATAACAAAAGAAAAAAGATATTCTTTCTCTGAAAAATGTTGTCTGTTTAGGACATCTTAAAATTATAAAAATTGATAAAAGTCTGGGCATGAGCTGTTAGAAAAGGGAACACTGAGTAACTCAGGTTCGCTAGTATGTATATGTTCAGGAGTCTTGTTATAGAAATATGCCTGTTCTATCTATAAAAACTAATTTTTACAAATTCTTAGAACTCATGAAGCACAGTGGGGAATATATTCATTGTGTAAAAATCATTACAGCTGATCCTGTAGAGCTTAAAAAAAGTTAAGGATAATTGTCCGTGTAAGGAATTTTATAATTAGATTGAACTGGTAAATTAAAACATACTGAGATGGGTTAAGATGATGATAGATGTCATCCTACATATTAAATTGGTGTTATACTGAGTTGTATATTTGAGGCACTACACGTGAGAAAAAAATACATAGTATAGTAAGGAGAAGTTCCTAAAACATGTCTTAAAATAAGGCTTCGTCCTTAATTTTTCACAGCTGTGGCCCTCTTTTTCATAAGGAAAGCTGGTTACCTTGTTGCTGTTGGGAAGGCTTGGCTTTACGTCCCTCTCCTTCACCTGGATTTCAGACGTTTGATGGCCTCTCATTCCCTATTCTGTTCTTTCATTTTTATCTTGTAACTTTTTGTAACTCCACTAGCACAAGCGATGCCCTTTTGTTCAAAATGGCAAGTGTTATTTTGCAGCAGTAGTTGTAATAGCCCATCCGAGCCTGGAGGCAATCGAATAAATCTACCCGATGAAGCATTACACAAAGTACAGCCAAGAGAAAATCTTCCCTTTCTCTGACTTCCACTTCCACCAATATCCTTCCCTTCCCAAGCAGTCACTCACACCTCTTTTATCTCTCCCGTGGGATGAAATTTTCCTGGGATGTGGCGGTTTGGCTTTATGTTGTTCCTGAGGTTGACTGGCAAGAGGTGGAGGTAAACTATGCCGGTGTATGGTATAGCCCACAAGTTAGGATACCTTCTTGTGAGACAGAAGATCAAAGTTCACATCTCTCTGCAAATATATCAGGGGATATGAGCCAGTATCCTTGAAAGCTGAGGCAAGTCTTTACAGAGCAGCGATCTAACTCCAAGAAGTAGGACATGGCTGTGAATCCCCATCAGCCGGTCTCCTTCCTTCTGCCTGGAGTTAAGCACCAGAATCCTAAGAAAGTGGAACTGAAGTGCCAGCCTTTCCTTGGCATTTCCTGCTGGTTATTTTAGATCATAGAATAATATAATCACAGAATGGTTTGGGTTGGAAAGGACCTTCAAAGTTCATCCAGTCCCACGCCCCTGCCATGGGACATCTTTCGCTAGGTCAGGTTGCTCAAAGCCCCATCCATCCTGACCTTGAACACTTCCAGGGATGGGGCATCCACAGCTTGTCTGGGCAACATGCTCTAGTGTCTCACCACCCACATCGTAAAAAAACACCTTCCTTATGTCCAATCTAAACCTGTCCCTCTCCCCAAGCATACTGGCTTTTGCCCGGGCACCCAGCTTTGAGGTGGGGAACCCAGTGGTCCACCCTACACTTATCTGGGACAATTACTACCTGCTGTGGATCTACCTACCGTCTCCACTGTCCCCTCCCTTTCCTCCCTTGTACCTGTGCACTTGCAGGGTCCAGGCTTGTCCCCCTGGTTTCTGGAGGCCAGGCAGCCCAGGGAAGCTGAGCTCCCATGGCTGGGCAGAGGCAGGGAGCGAGGCACGGAGAGGAGGGGTCATTTTAAAGAGCACCCGAGAGTAGGCTCCGGTCTCTTTTGCTCGCTGTGACAGCAAAGCGTCACACTGGAAACCACAAGCTGGGACTTACCAAGTGGCCTCTGATCTTTCTCTCTCTTTTTTGCCACCTTTCCTCTCTTTTTGTCTTCTCATTTTTCCAAGGAAGAGGCATTTTCACTGACAGCTTCTTGGACAGCTCTGGGACACGATTTTTCTGAGGAGGGTAAGGGGTTTTTAACTCCTCACTTTGATAGTGGTTAGAAGTAACATTTTAAAGGAGGGGGGAAGGTTGTTTGTTTGAATGCATTGTTTTGGGACCCGAAGTGTCCTTTGGCATGAGTTGTTCTTAAGCTAAAATAAATTATGAAATGGCTATAGAAAACCCGATCATCCAGAGTTTTCAAAATTCGGTAATTTGGATTTATTATGTTTCACTGGTTTTGCATGTCCTGTCACTTACGTGCTTATACACTAAACTAGCTGGTGACATTTCTGCTGATGGAAAAGTATTTTTCAGGAAAAAACACGGGAGAGTGGACATTTTTGAACAGAAAGCGTAAAATGTCACAGATTTAAATGAGCTCTGCAATGACGCAGTGAGGCAATAAATATTGTGCTGCATGTATTAAAATTTTTAAGTTACAGGTTTCTAAAAATATTTAGAACCACAAATATGGCTGCCAAAAGAATATGCCCTTGCCAGCTATAAATTTGTGGCTATTAAAATGCAAAGCTATAACTGTGTGGGTAACATACAAACACATCCAAAAGTTTCATTTTCCTTTTATTCTATGTCAATAAATATACACAACACTTGGGATAGCATAGTTTTTTTGAAAAAAAGTTGTGTTAAACAACCAAAGTATACTAAAATGCCAGCTATACCTTTGACTGAACCTGTCTTAAAATGGCAAGCTGCTGGGAGGTTGCTATTCTGGGAGGTGACTCTGATAGGTCTCAACAGATGCAGCTCCCGGAATGCAGCCAGAGTGGGGGGAGCCGGGCAGCAGCTGACCCCCGCACTGGCACACCGACATTTCGGGGATCGCAGCTCACGTCAGCGCGGGCTGACACTGACACTTTTGGCACACATGGCCTTCTCCCTTGCTTGCTCTGCACATGGTCGTCACCCCGCAGCGGCAGCAAAAAAAATCCTGGTGCTCACAGGCAGCAACCATTCCTTTCTAAAATTAAATCACTGTTTTGTTACGTGCTGTGTGCTTAAGGAAAAATTGATGTGCTGAGATTTTAGATTGAAATATTACTGGAGTTTTTTATTAAGTTACCTAAAATAAGCCAGTCATTTGTTTTATCTTTAGGTAGCATTTCTTCATGAATGAGTGCAAGGATCACAGAGAAAATTAGCTGGTGTAAATTGCTTTACAATCAATGGATATATTGAAGATAAATGCTATAGTTGAATATATTTGAATGCTGGTCTCAGCAATTGTATTTTAATTGTGTTATTGAAGATCAGTGCTTTTCTTTGAGGTATATTTGCATATACATATATTTATTTGAAATAGCTCCTTTGAAAATTACTTAGGGGCCGTCTCACATTGCATTTGACAAAAACGTGGCTCATCATTTCAGCAAGAGCTGGAACTTGCCTAGAGTTGATAAGTCTAAATCAAATATCTGTTCTAACATAACTCTGTGGGAGTAATTATTAACCTTCACACATAAAGAACTTATTTAAAATAACACGTCCTGCTAGTGTTTGCATGACATTTTTCTCAAATAAAAGTTAGACAAAATCCTAAGTGTAGAATTATAGATTTCAAATTACTGATATTGAAAAGCAAGCAAAGTGTGCTATGAGTAGAATGTATTTGTGAATCTGACATGGGAAGTAGAATATCATCAGTCAGGAAAATCAAAAATTACAAAAACCTGGAAACAGTTTGGAGCAGATACTAAACCTAAAATCAACATGGCATCATACTAAAATTCACTTTGTCTTTATGTCTTATGTTGCTTTTTTAATAAAGAATTTCTCCCACTCTTAATATGTCCTGGTCAAATTCTGAACTCTCCTGTAAGTTTGTACTAGCCCTGGAGTAAGGACGAACAAAGCCAGGGGCCCATATCTTTCCTATGCTTCAGATTAATGAATTCATATCTAAAGCCTGTCTGATTTAAATGTATATTTACAAAATTTTACAGTCTGGCAAATTCACTTAATGTTTAGGAAGAGAATTTAACTCTTTGGATGCGGTGACAATAGGGGAATGTTATTTTTATGACCTTGTTATTAAAAAAAAAGGAGTTATTTTAGGTGTTGTAGGTGTATTCTTCACAATTTGAGTATCCATTGTTATTAATAAGCAGCCACACTACAATCTAGGACAGTATAGTTCTTAGGAAGATAGATTATCCTGTCTGTTTTGGTTTTGTGGCATTTATATGTATTGAAAAAGGTTAGATTTGTTGCATAATCACGGCGCTATTACATTTCACAACCGCAGTGTAGCTCTAAATGTTTTAATTTTATTTTTAGCAAGCTCTTGGCTGTAATATTTCATTGCAGCCATGGCCCCTAAGAAGAAGAATGTGAAGAAGAACAAAACAGATATCAATGAAATGACTATCATTGTGGAAGACGGCCCCCTCAGTAAACTAAATGGCTTGAATGGGCTCTTGGATGGAGGTAATGGTTTCAGCTGCATCTCATCTGAAGTTTCCGACCCATCATATAGCCCAAATCTCTTGGAAGGTCTAAGCAGAATGAGACAAGAAAATTTTCTTTGTGACTTGACTATCAGTACCAAAACCAAATCCTTCAGTGTTCATAAGGTGGTGATGGCTTCAAGCAGTGACTACTTTCACAACATTTTAAAGAAAGATCCATCCACTCAAAGAGTAGACCTCAATGACGTATCCCCATTGGGTCTAGCTACTGTTATCACCTATGCTTACACTGGAAAACTTACTCTCTCACTTTATACAATAGGTAGTATTATTTCCACGGCAATTTATCTACAGATTCACACCCTTGTAAAGATGTGCTGTGATTTTCTAATCCAAGAAATCAGTGTTGAGAATTGTATGTACGTTGCCAATATTGCAGAAACATACGGACTAAAAACAACCAAGGAAGCAGCGCACAAATTTATTAGAGACAACTTCATTGAATTTTCAGAAACGGATCAGTTCTTAAAACTTACTTTTGATCAGATTAATGAACTTCTTGCAGATGACGACTTGCAGTTGCCTTCTGAAATTGTTGCATTCCAGATTGCAATAAAATGGCTGGAATTTGACCAAAAAAGAGTAAAGTTTGCTGCCGATCTCTTAGGTAACATCCGTTTTGGTACAATCTCAGCCCAAGACCTTGTCAATTATGTTCAAACTGTGCCGAGAATGATGCAAGATGCAGACTGCCATAAGCTCCTGGTGGATGCCATGAACTATCATTTGCTTCCCTACCACCAGAATACACTGCAGTCCAGAAGAACGAGGATCCGTGGAGGTTTCAGAGTCTTAGTTACTGTTGGGGGACGCCCTGCTCTAACCGAAAAGTCTCTTAGCAGAGACATCTTATACAGAGATCCTGAAAACGGATGGAAGAAGCTGAGTGAAATGCCTGCTAAAAGTTTTAATCAGTGTGTGACGGTGATGGATGGATTTCTTTATGTGGCCGGTGGGGAAGACCAGAATGATGCCAGGAACCAAGCCAAGCATGCAGTCAGCAATTTCTGCAGGTAACTGGTTATTTATTTAAAAGGGATGGAGAGATTGATTCCACACAATGCAGGTAGATAGACCAAGCTGGTTTGTGATGTGCAGCATGAACCCCTCAGATAACTAGAAAGCAGACAGGGTTGGGGAGGTATGGATGCTATTCTATATTAAAGTTTGAATGAACAGAAATATGCATCTGAAGTTATGCAAAAACTGCACCATGGCTATACATGCACAATGAGAAGTGAGGAAAACCAAGAAAACTTAACTCCAAGTGGAGGAAATAAATAGGAACATAAATAGGAAGTTCTGGGATGTTCTAAGGAACCATTAAAATGCACCAAATCAGACAAGGTGAGACTTTTTAAATTTCAAGAGCTTCTGATGCCTCACAGAAGGTTCTGAAAAACACCTTTTAGGTATTATAATCTTGACTTTCTATGCACCATCCACCTTTCAGCAGCTTTTATACTGCATTTCATATCCTTTAGCTTTGTTTTCAAGACTTTAGAAACAATATCACCATCTCTTGAAGGCTATATTTCTCTTCTACAATGTACTCCAAATAATACCTCACTTCTGAAATATTACAGTTCCTATCTATAGTCATCCAAAGACTGCACTGGTGATAGCAAGGTCAGAAGGCTAACATGCAGTAGTCAGATGGGTGACACTCGTTTTTAAATAGTTCAGCCTAAAAGCTGACAGCACACAATAGCTTGAAGCAAAGGCTGGAGGTGAGACAACTCAGCTCTTTATCTACTAACAGACTATGGACATGCAATGGCAATACACAGCCACAGTCCTACCGGTGCTTCCTTTCCTGCTCCCAGAAGGAACATTCAGATAACTTCTCCTGAAGATATCAACCAACATAAAGAGTTAATGAATAAGGGACCTTCTCTAGATCAGTTTTGTTGTGCAATATCTACTTTGTCAGAAAAATATCTCACGTAAAGGAGATTATGCTGTCGCTCTCCCGACCTTCTGCTTTTAAACTATGCCTCACGTTCTCACAAGGAGCTGTGTACTGGAGGTGGGGAGGAGGTGGGGGAATCTTCGTGGTCCACGGCTGAATGGGTTCTGCTCTCTGTTCTGCCGTTAACTTCGAGCATGTCAAGTCACATCAGTATGTCTGTGGGCTTGCTTTCAGAGCTGCACATGACAATGCAGTATGACAGCTAGCAATTATTATTTACTTTCCCATAGTCTTTTTCTCGTGCGATTCTCTGGTCGCCACAGCATGCAACAGGAGAAATGTATGGGCCTACTAATGTACCTCACTCAACTCCTTCAGGAGTCA